CTCTAATCCGGCCTAAAATAATTTCAAGTGCCGCGGCTATTGCGGATTCCCTCTGGTTTTTATATAGTAGCATTATAAACAGATCAGATAATAATACTAGTGCATATTGTTAATTTTTATAAAAACGAATAAGAAATTTCTATACAAAGGCTTTGCGCTACGTTTCCAGAACTTAGAGGATTTGTAACAGTTTCTAAGTTTGTCATACGAACGAGGCTTATTTTCTGTCACAGATATTTTCTTGGACAAAACCGGATTTGTAATAGTTTCTAAGTTTGTCATTCGAACAGAATTTACTCTCTGCCACCGATATTTTCTTGGATAAAACGGGATTTGTAATAGTTTCTAAGTTTGTCATTCGAACAGAATTTACTCTCTGCCACCGATATTTTCTTGTATAAAACGATATTTGTACGTAAGAGCGTCACGAAAAGTTGCATGTTGGTAGGTATTAAGTGTCATTAAAAATAGGTATTATTTTTTATCCGAAAAATCCTCCTCTGCATTCCTGTTACCCTTAAAGAACACCCACATGCTCGTTATTCTACAACTATAAGGTGTATTTTACCCTTATAGAACACCCACATGCTATAACTATAAGGTGTACTCTGTGCTGCCTTTTGTTTTTTTTTTGGTCGATGCTCAAACAATTGACAATAGTATTTCAATATGTTTGAAAATGTAGAATTTGCGTGTCAATCCCTATCCCTTGAAGTTCTTCATAATTAGACGACGAAAATTACTAGCTTGAAAATTGTAAATAGAAATAAAAACTCTGATTATTTTTTTCTCCTTTTCTATTAGCAAACACTAGATTTTCCAGGTTTTAATCACGGGAATGAGCGTTTGTTTTCTTTAATAAGATGAATCACCATATACAAAACAGGCGTATCTAAAGTATCAATAAAGACTCACATCCTTGATGAAATATGGTATCTATAGAACGATACATCACACCTGACTGTTGGAATTCAAGAAGCAAAAGTCCAGTTGTTCAAGTTTTCAGATCAAAGTTTCACTACTTTATGATATCAAATCTTTTTACTATCATCGTATTCAAAGCATTATTAATCACAAGACTCCGAAAAGCAAACAACGTCCCTCTCTCCAGTCACTAGGTGGTAAATCTGAAGGCTCGTTACACTAACAACTGAGTTTCGATACCCGTAGTGGGCACAGCACAAATAGCCTATGTGTAGTATTGCGCTTAATAAGAACCAAACAAAGCAAAGGACGCAGACATTTTTTTATTTTTTTATCGTCATCGTAAAACTGGAAGAAAAGAAGAGTTAAATATGAAAAATGTAAAACGTGTCCTCGAATTTTACTTAAATGTCTGAATATATTTTATTGGTAAGTCTACTGTAAAGTTTAATTAAGATACTAGATATCATCGTGTTAATATGTTCAGTCAAAATACCAGATTTGTTTCTTCTTAAGTTTCCTATAAGTATATCAAAATTACTTTATTGAAACAAGTAATACGAGATATTTTTAATGTTTCAAGCATATTTCTAATGATAAACAAAATGTAAAGTTTAATTATAATTAATTGTGGCTCCCCAGCGCCAACTTTTTTATTAACTGGGGGATGGGGGGGATGAGATACATAATGTGGCCAAATCTGAAATAAACTAAAATTTAGATCAATGGACTGCACTAGCTTAGGAGGTCCAACGACATTTCAGGTTGGGCCGGACGCCCCTGGCTCCCCTCTAGCGCCACCTTAATTACAATTACAAATAGTCTAATCTTTAAATTTCACGTCAAACTTCATCTAATAACAAACGTCGTGAATTAACCGTAGAATTTACTGAAATATTAAAATAATCCCCGATTTTGTTTTGGTAGCAAAAGTGACATACAGGTCCCTTTGTTTGTTTACCGGAACAACAATTTAAGCAGTCTTGGTAGCAAAAGTGACATACAGGTCCCTTGTTTGTTTACCTGAACAACAATTTAAGCACACAATGAATTAAATGGTCAATGATTCAGACCTGCTCACTAAGTTAGCACTCGCCTCCTGAAGCAGCTACTCTTAACCGAGTAACACAGTTGACTGTCACTTTTATAACACATTCACTGTTGAAAGTGCAAAACGTGCTTAGTCACATAGCTTCTTGGACCCGAGATTCTTGGGTCCCCAGTTTTTCTTTAAATGGATTTTTGATTACTCGGTACAGTAGCAATAACACTAGCACGAATACGTTACCGTACTAAATTTCTGTTTACTCGGATTACATAGTTTTTCTTTTTTACCGATTTCAAATAATTTTCCAAGTAAAATTGAATTCTAATTTCATTCATTCTCGGCACTTTTATCCAAAAAAAATTAAAAGCCACGAAAAAGTCATAAAGTAGCATATAAAATAAAAGAATTTTGAACATTTTCTACCAATGATGAAAATTGCTAACAAGTTGATTATTGAACATTTTCTACCACTAATGAAAATTGCTAAAATGTTGATTATTGAACATTTTCTACCAATGATGAAAATTGCTAACATGTTGATTATTGAACATTTTCTACCAATGATGAAAATTACTAAAATGTTGATTATTGAGCATTTTCTACCAATGATGAAAATTACTAAAATGTTGATTATTGAGTATTTCCT